GGTGCGGCGACGCACCCTCCGTTTTTATTTTTCTTGTATTATAACTAATTATTAAAGAAAAAACAAAATTGGTTGATTTTGCACCCCCTCCCAAGATTTAAAATAATTTTTTTCGCTTGATTTATGTAGAGAAAACTGAATTAATGTTAAAAAAATCTTAAATGACAAGAGTTTCAAATATTATTATTAGATTTTATATTTTCTAATTGATAATCATGTAAAATTCATTAGCATAATGATACAAATTAAAAGTTACTAGTCAAGTCAAGGCTCAGATTAAATATATTAACACACGCTTAAGATTGTAATAAAGGTCTCAATTTTAAATTACATAGAAGTAAAAGGCCCAATAGTAAAATTTTTTATAAGATAAAAAACTTAATTAAAAATTAAAATAGTAAGATTAATTGGTTAATGTTAAAACAATAAGGAATGCCACTTTCACTTCAATTTGGACGAATTATTAGTGCTGGACCTGCTGGTTTAATGTAGTACAAGGTACCAAAAGTTTGATGTTTTAAAAAAATTTATCAAACCTGGATTTTTTAATTTTCTTATTAAATATGTATTTGTAAGCGTAAATTTTTTCCTATCACGTTAAAATTATTACGGTTGAACTACTATAAAATTGAACTCTTATATGACATATAACCTCTCGTTACAGAGAAAAAAAAATTGTAAAATACTAACAAAGTGAAATCTTAAGTAACTTGGTATAGTTTTTTTTTAATGAAAAATAGTATTTCAGTAATTTTGAATACTTTTTTAGTTTATAGTACTTATTCTATTGATTTCGACTCGCACCCCTAAACTAAAATTCTGGCTCTGCAACTGCCTAATTGCCTCAATTCTAAACTATAGGATTTAATTGCCGTTTTTAGAAAATATGTGGGCTATAAATAGATGGTCAGTTCTGTAATAAGAATAATCAGATATGATGTATTGGATTGATATTTTCAGAATCTTCTTTTCTCTCTTGTCCTTGCGAAGCTCCTAATTCCCTTTCCTCCCAATGAACCCTAGTTTCTGAATTTCTTCCCCACGAATCTCATATTTGGATTAGGTCAGAATTGCTCCGTTCTTGCTCCCTCCATTTCAAAATATAAGTCTTTTTAGCCTCTACACGTAAACTAAGGAAACAATCATTTAATGATTATTTTATGTGTTAAATATTTATTTTGCCCTTCATTAATTGTTTTAGAACTATAACTAAAACTAGATGAAAAGTGGTTAGCATTATTTATTCGGGGTAATGTTAGAAAATTGATCTTTAATTCGCTTTGAAATCCTAAAACGACCTATATTTTGAAATATTTCTCTAAACCTAAAACGATCTACATTTTAAAATGGACGGAGTAGTCCCTAGAAGATATTATAATTAATGAAAAATGGGAATTAATCAAATTAAATGGACATTAATGCATCAAAATTATTCCCTCCCCAAAAAAATTTCCGAAAATTACAACTGGACTCATTTAATCCCTATTCAAAAGAATCTCTGCTTAATCATGTAAAGAAGCAATAACTTTAATGCATTAATGTTGATTGATTGCTCATTTTCAAAATACGTATGCATCTGTTTTGGCTCCAATGCACCATATTTCAGATTTCAGAAGTCTTTTTGCCACGTGTAAGTCTATTTTAATTAGAAGTTATATAATTTTTTTTAAAAAAAAACACATGTTTTACTACAAATAAGGATCAGTTACATTTCAAACGAATGGATATATTAATTCAAATTCAAATGTCCAACCATATAGTTTTGCAGGCTTAATATAAATAAAAAATAAAAATACCTAAATCCAGCAATTAAGAATAATGCCTTATAAACTAATTATTTATTATTCCCTTATAACCTCAGATTTATAGGTATATTTTTTTAAGCCCCAAACCATAGCATAAATGATATATACGCCAAATTAATTTCTCAAAAAATAGTAATTCAATTAGATTTTAATAAAATAGTAATTTAGAAGAGGCGCCCAGGCATCTGTCCGGGCCAAGCATCTAGTTGATTATTAAGACAGTTGAAACATGAACCCATCCAGTCCTTTCTAGATTATTATCTAGCCTCGAGGACGGTAATATGGATGTTATTTTTTATTTGTACCAATAACCAAATTCGATGGATTCAAACTCAAATTATTTTTTTTTCCCCCCAGATTTAGTGTTTCTCATAATCTGGTTATTGTAACAAAATTTTGAGTAAGGTTAAAATCACTTGCTTATCTAAAGGCTGTTTTTTTTTCCCCAATTGAAACAAAACTTTTTGCAAATATGGAATTTTGAAGATGACAAAAGATGGATAGACATACATTTCGTTGTTGTATTCCTTTATTCCTTCTTGTCAGTATCAGATCTTGGTTCTAATGTGACTATACAAATTGTTGATTCATCACCAGGTATTGGTCCTAATACTCAAATATGTAATTATTTTCTAAACGACTTTCTTCAAAATATATATATATATATATATATACACATAATTTTTCAAAAAATAACATTTTTTGGGTTTTTATTCACAAAAGAAATCCCTTTTACCCTATTAAAGCAGACTACAGGATGTTGATGTGGCAACTTCTTATTAAAAATTTTTGGCTCCAAATGCACCATATTACATTAACCATTCTGCCACGTGTCATCGCTTTTTAAAAGAAAAAAAATTTCTTATCCGGAGAAACAAAAGCTACTTTACAAAAATAACTACACAATTTTAACTCCTAACATTTATCATTTATCAACCAAATTAAAATAACATTTAAATTTGCCCATAAACTTATCCCTTGTATTACTCTACATTCTTTTGTATGATTTCTGTATCATTGTACTTTTCAATATTTTTTCTCCTTTGGTAGATGATTTTTTTATTTTTATTTTTATTTTTGGCTAAAAAAGAGAAAAAAAAATACCAAATGTGTAGCTATTTTATTTTTTCTAAATCAAGAATTTATTTATCTATTAGCATAAAATTACAGTAGAGGGCCGCCCGGACATCTGCCCAGGCCAAGCATCTAGTCATCTATTATAATCATTCCTCCAAAAAATAATCCACATTGAGTTTTACAATTTTATAAAACTAAAAAAAAATCCACATTGAATTTTGTTATTTGTGTAAAAAAAATAAAATAATCCACATTAATTTTTCAAAGTTGTATAAGACAAAGGTTGCAAATGTGAAGCAAGAAAATCTTTTACCCCTCATTGGGAATCTAAATATACTTTTATTTAGATGAATGACTTCTCTATTTTTAGGGAGAATGGGCCTTTTCATCCCAAGGTTTGAGCCACACCATCTAAAACATCTCAAAGTTTAAAAGCATGCCATTTTCATCCCAAATTTTTCAAAAATATGTAATATTAGGATATTTGTTAAATTTTTCAAGTTATTAACGGCGATATTTTATTCAGTTTCTTTTCTCCTATTTTTTTTAGTCAAAAAAGTTTCATGCTTGTGTTTGCTAAATTTGGTCCATGCCAAGCAAAAAAGTTGCATGTCCTTACATCAATTACAACACTAATTTTTATAATGATGCTATATATTTAAAAAAATAAATGAAATAGGGTTTACATTCTAATTAGGACACACAAAAAACCTCTCATGATTGTTATCAATCTAGAAGGTGAATCTTGGATTTTTTTTTTTTCTTTTTCTTAGCAAGAGAAGAATGGATGATGTGAAGACCAAATTAGGTTTAGCTATTTTCTTATAAGGTGAGAGTTAGTGGAACGTGTTAAATGATTAAAAGAATTAGGGGAGGAGAAACAGAATAAAGTACCACTACTAATTAATTAAGTGGAGTTAAAAATTTAACGAATATCCTAATGTAACATGGTTTTAAAAAGTTTGGGATGTAAATGGCATGTTCTTAAATTTTGGAATGTTTTGGTTGGTGTGACCCAAACTTTGGGATGAAAAGACTCATTTTTCCTTTTTTAATTTCAGCAAGTTTGATAGTAAAAAGTAACCTCTTAATGAATTAAATGATGTTGAAACTGCAGTACAATAGATAACAATTATTCATGTTATCCTTATCCCACCGCTCTATTTTTTATGGAACTGGAAAATTATGGTGCGGCAAGAATTACAGGAGCAACATCTTTTACTTCCATCCTCCTCGCATTTCTTGCAATCGACATTTTTGGGATGGACGGCGCACTCCTTTGGCTTTTCACGGCATCCTATTTCGTTGGGATGGTGATCGCAAAAATTTACCGCTGCTGAACAGCTTTCGACTTTCGACCAATCCGCCATTTTGTGGGCCGTGGGAGAAACAGACGTCATCAAAAATATTAAACTAATTACCAGTGCAATAATTAAAATTACCTGAACCACTACGTATATCATATACGTAGGCAGGTAATTTACCTAGAAACAAATCATTACCCAGTGCCAGAGAAATGACCAAACCGATAACCAATACTAGCTGGATAATGCCGTACAACATGTAAGTGGGCAAATAATTCGTTTGGAGATAGATTAACCCCCCGATTAACAAACTGATCCCTCCAAGGGCGATAAGCAACACGTTGGTAGTCACCAACACGGGCTTATTTCCCTGTTGCGGGAGACAATAATCTCGGGCGTTCACATTCAAGTGGAAGTTGATTACAAGAACCTGCGGAAATAGCAATGAAGGAGATGAAGAAGACGGAGGCATTTCGGAGAGCTTTCGCCAGAAAGGATTTTTCTGGAGAATATAAGGCAAAAACTTGGAGAAGGTGCGCTGGATGTAAGATGATACAAGTATTTGTTCGTTTGAGTTTTTATTAACTAAGAGATTTTAGGCAATGAAGATGAGACGTGCAAGTAACATCAGTGAAGAGATTTAAGGAAAAGATGCTAGTCATTCTACTTTCGGAAAATCCTCTGCGAGAGTCGAAATGCCTAAAAATGCACAAATGAGGCTCAAGAATTATTTTGCTACGAAAAGGTAACAGATAAAAAGAATTCGAGTACAACTATCTATACAAGATTGTGGTATTTTGTAAGACTAATGTAATCGCAGAAAACTGCCAAGGACAAAAGGGAGTGATATTTCAGCTCTTTTTATATCAACTGCCACCGATTAAAGACTATGCGTGTATGCATACTTTGAAATTATGACAAAGCACTATTAACTTAGTGGGGGATATGAAGAACTTGAATGACTATATTACTACATAGATCAAACTGAAACTCACAAGGCTTATGCTGAATAAAAATCTTTACATGGCATCATCAAAGAAAAAAGAAAGTAAATACCGACCATACAACATTCCTATAAAATCTAATCCTTCTAATTTGAGAGCCAAGGCACCTGAAAATGCTACAAGGTTTCAAAGGACTCGGCAATTGGGAAAAATATGTATATATATCTGCACTAGCTCTTCATACACCGGCACTGAAGTTCCATGGTAGTTAGTTTTGTAAAGAAAGAAGAGATTAATGTAAAGACTCGGAGAAGATATCGTACAAGTTGCTCAAGCGCACGTGTAGAGAAGTCCATGAAAGCTCAACATGATCGAAGCAAAATTGGACCGACCGAAGAATTGAGCATATCGCTAAGCGCTAACTGAACCTCATTTGATCCATGCTCACAACTTATCAAGCTTGAGAGCAAGGGGAAAAATAAGGCGAGGTTCTTCTCAAAGGACGACTCTCGCAAACTACAAAGTTTGGAGTGTTGCAACAACGAGAGGTGCTCGTGCAGCTAACTGTCTCCGTTTACCAGTACCTAAAGGAGTCGCCGACTGAACCTATGCAGAACCAACACATTAGAATGATATAGATTCTTGTGTGTTGCAAAACAAATTAGAAGAGGAAAGACTTGGTTTTTACAGGGCCTGACTTGAAATAATCAACTAATCAAACATTCATCAACTAATGCATCTGCAATATCCCTGTACTCATCATTGACTTGAACTCCTGGAAGTTTACAAATCCGTCTCCATCTTTATCAACCCCTTTGATCATTCTTCTACAGTCTCCAAGACTGCAATTTTGGTGGCATCCAAGGCTGATCAGAACCCTCTGCAATTCCTCTGCTGATATAACCCCATTCTTATCAGCATCGAAGATCAGAAAAGCTTGAAAAAGCTCATCTTCTTGGTCAAGAATGAATGATTTAGCTCCACCTTCATTATTCTGAGCATATGTTGTAGTTGTTGTTGTTGTAGTGCCCATTACATTCATGAATTCATCAAAGTCAACAAATCCATCTCCGTCGCAATCCATTTCTCTTACTATGGATTCAGCTTCTTTTGAGGCCAAAGAAGACCTTGTGTACTGTCCCAATCTCAGAAGAACTTCACTGAGCTCCAAAGAAGATATCTTGCCATCTCCATTCGTGTCTATGAACTTGAACACTTGCTTCAACTGCTGGGAAACTTCTGTAGTAGCAAAAGATGAAGTTTGGCAGCTCAAATCAGAGGAAAATTCCTTTGATTCCCGTTTCTTCCAGCTCTTACATATGTTCAAGAAACAGAGTTTTCTGGGCTTCTTCAAGGAATTCAAGCAGAGTCTGAGGGAACTCAGCATGGTGTTCTTTCTTCTGTTTCTGGAAGGGGACCAGTGGGAAAATGAGGTTTTAGGTACCAATCAGAAGGAGAATAGACAAAAAAAACTGAATGATTGAAGAAGAGGCATATGTATGCACATCAGTAGTCGAAATCAAAGCGGAGAAAGATGACTTTCAGTACTTGAAATGATCAAAAAGTATGTGGTATTTCAATGTGTTTGAGCAATTAAAGAAACCCTCTGTCACTTAGTAACGTATGGCTATGGATTGATGCGCCAAAGAGTGCAACATCATTCATTCCTGAAGAACCTTTGAGTTCAGTTTTGCTACAGAAACAGAGCTTCATTTTTAGTAAACTTTGATGGAGCAAAGCTAAATGTTTTTCTACAGGATTTATGAAAAAAGTCCTCGGTTAATGGGATCCAGGTAGAAGAAGTTAGTAGCGGAATTGCCGGCACCTCAAAGGATGTTTTTTTTCTATGGCTATTTTGATTGGAGAAAAGGACAACTTGTAGGCTATACTATGAAGGAGAATTGGGGTCTCCGCAAGTGAAGGGGAGATTGACCTGTTGCTTTCTCTGGTAAACCCACTAGCTGCTCTTGGATTCTAATGATTTGTATCATTTATGGTCAGACTCCAATCCCTAAAAATATCACCCCCTTCGAGGTGGATAAGAAATCAAAGCACATTTATCACTTGCTGTCCTAATAAGTAAACAAAGCTGCAGCTACCCAGCTAAGACAGAGGATCCATGGTAAAAATAAAAACTCGTTTTTCAAAACAGATTGAGGCTCAAGAAAGACTTGTAGTTGACCTGTTTTGCATGAACAAGTGTTCAAAGCCTCAAAAGGTAGGATGCTATCACTGCCAAGAGTTTTTTTCTAAGCAGAACTTGTTAAACTAAGAGATTTTAGGCAATGAACAAGAGACGTGCAAGTAACAGTCATTCTCCTTTCGGACAATCCTGTACCCTAAATGCCTAAAAATGCATAAATGAGGCTCAAGCATTATTTTGCCATGAAAAGGTAACAGAGAAATAGAATTTGAGTATAACTATTCTATACAAGATTGTCATATTTTGTAAAACTAATGTAATTGCAGAAAACTGACAAGGACAAAGGGAGTGATATTTCAAAGGGACATATTTCAGCTCTTTTCATATCAACTGCCACCGATTGAAGAGACTATGTGTATATGCATACTTTGAAACTATAACAAGCACTATTAACTTAGTGGGATATGAAGAACTTGACTGACTATATAGATCAAACTGAAACTCACAAGGCTTATGCTGAATGAAAATCTTTACATGGCATCATCGTTCTATTATAAAAAGAAAAGAAAAAAATAAATACCGACCATACAACATTCCTATAAAATCTAATCCTTCTAATTAGAGAGCCAAGGCACCTGAAAATGCTACAAGGTTTCAAAGGACTCGGCAATTGGGAAAAATATATATATCTGCACTAGCTCTTCATACACTGGCACTGAATTTCCATGGTAGTTAGTTTTGTAAAGAAAGAAAAGATTAATGTAAAGACTCGGAGAAGATATCGTACAAGTTGCTCAAGCGCACGTGTAGAGAAGTCCATGAAAGCTCAACATGATCGAAGCAAAATTGGACCGACTGAAGAATTGAGCATATCGCTAAGGGCTAACTGAACCTCATTTGATCCATGCTCACAACTTATCAAGCTTGAGAACAAGGGGAAAAATAAGGCGAGGTTCTTCTCAAAGGACGACTCTTGCAAACTACAAATAGTATGGAGTGTTGCAACAACGAGAGGTGCTCGTGCAGCCAACTCTCTCCGTTTACCAGTACCTAAAGGAATCGCCCACTGAACCTCTGCAGAACCAACAGATGAATTGGATATCTGTCCGGACTCAGCACTTTGGACATAGAACTGTAAGACTTCGTGGCAAAGGTTGACCAGGTAGGTTTCCACTTGTGACTCTTCAAAGTTGGCAGGCCTGTCCTCCACAAGATTCTGCAGAAGTGACAGGCAAATTTGATAAGACTCATTCTCAAGGCGCAACAATGGGGGATCCTGCATTTGCGTCATGGGTCCAAACTCCAGCAACTTAGCACGTAATGCTGAATCAGTGTTTATCTTGTGAGCATGAGATGCAGCAGCATGCATAGCTTCAAAGAGGATTACAATGTTTTTAACCGAAAGTTGAGATCTGTACGTGGTGTAGACCTCCATGATAGCCTGCACAAAAAGAAACAATAGAATCCCATGTCCAGGTTACATAAGGAGTATAAACTGCTGCCAATGAAAAACACAATCATATTGGTAAATACAAGTTCAACAATGTATGCAGTTTGACATATTGGGAGACAATTTAACCAGCATTTATAAGGTTGAACTATGAACAAAACTCTATTCTTGTGATTCTGTTGACTTTTCCCACATCAAGTAAATATGCAGACACGGGTCATCTTAAGGTGTCATTAAGAAAGTGAAGAATACAGAAACTCGCAGAAAATCCCTGCAAGAACCAGTCAATAACATTTCTAGAAAATTGAGAGTCAATACATGATCACAAAAACAAAGTGTAATAAAAGTTCTGCACCCATCTGTGTTATGGGAATTTCCAACATCTAAAGCGATTTGAAGATTTACCGGTTGAAATGCATTCAAATTACAGCTAAAAATATTGCTCCCGACAGGTCTCTAGAAAACACATCTTACATTATGCAAATCTAAGAAGTAGGATTTAAAAACACTTCGAATCTAATTCCACAAGCACTTACCAAGACAAAATTCCAAAGACGGATAACTCTGTTCACTAACGAAAAAAAAAAAAACAGAGAGATAAATGCAAAGCACTTAGAGTTAAAACCTACCTGAATTAGTAAAAGTTGAACAGCAGCCCGGCATTTGGCATCAGAAATAGCAACATACAACCGGTGCCTCCTCAAGTTCTCTACGTCATCTTGATCATCTGTATTAGATTCAGCAAATTCTCCACTGTTTCTTCTACTATGATCTTCCTCATGGTTCAATAACTGACTATCTTCATTGGTGGCAAAAGAGAAATCAGGAAGGGTCGAATTAGCCGCTGATTTTAGTGACAAAACAACTTCTTGCCATTTGTCTTCAGAAAAAAGATTCCCTGCATTGCTCATCAAACGGACAAATGCAGCAATGCCAATTCCCGCAAGGCTCTGGTGAGGACGTTTTATAAAATTCACTAAAAGCAGTAAGACTTTTCTCAGAAGTGGATTTACTGTGTCATAAAATTTGATAAAAAGATCCACAACCAGTTGGAGAGCTAGAGTGCATGTCTCATAAAGCCAAGCATCTTGTTCAAGCTCCCCACTCTCACGGTCAAACCCATGATCTGAATAGTTTTCACCCGTGGGATCGATAGTATGACGCACATAGTCAAAAATTGGAAAGAGGACAGAGTCAAACACTCGTTCCCACAAAGACAGAGAGAAATGATGCCCATAATTTCTTAAAGTGTCAAAAAGCACTTGTAGGGCACTCTTTCGTATTTCTGGCCTTGGATCAAAGCTAAGTTCAGACAACCCTATGGCAAAAGAGACAAAATATTATTTCAAAGTACGAACAAAAAATCAACTCATGACTGATGACTGATTACATCCAAAGAAATACCAATAGAATTATGTGACTTACCAGCAAGTAAAGGAAACCAAAAGTAAAGATGGTCCTCCTTATCTGTTAAATCTCCACCATCATTTCTTTTAACTTTTTCCTTCTGTGGCGATGAAGGGGATATATTTCCGGAAGTTTCCTTGCTTCCCTCCTTGGAGGAGGAGCCTAGATCACCTTCAGCAAGTTTCGCTGCACAGTAACGAAGAAATGCAATGGCATTGAGACTTATGTCTTGGTTGAATCTATTATTAGTGAACGCAATCAAACAATTCACACAGTCTGTGAATGTGGTAGTCTCTGTCTCAGTAATATATGGAAAATAATCTCGAACAATCTTCTCAATAATTTCAAAAGCCAAAAGGACAATATTTTTGCGTTCATCCTGAGCAGCTGTCGTAAATACCTGAAATATTTGAGACAAAAGGGGGGGGAAGTGCATAAGCATCATGCGTGGAAAAGGAACACGAGCAAAAGTATATCACCAACTTAACCGTATAAATCACAGAATAGTAACTCAATAATTGTCTTGAAAGAATATACCCTCCTTTTAGAACTACAATACGTAACATCAACAGGGAGTAGAGGAAATAAGAAGTGGATACGTACCATGAACATGCTCTTCCATCCTGACTTGACATTATTAACACGAGACAACACCATTTGAGAAACACATCTGATGATCAACTCTCTGATCTCAACAGCACTGCTCTTACGCATAACAATCACAAAAGGTTTCATAAATTCATTCTGAAAATTATAATTAGCCAACTCCTCTCGCTCCAAGAACTTCATTGATAATTGCCGAAGGGAATCCATGGCAAAAATAGCAATAGAAAGATTTTCCGAACATCCAATGGTCACAAAAAAATCAGAAAGTACTCGCCATATTTTTGACCAAACAAGCCTGATGCGGTTCATATTATAATGCCTGCATAATCAACATCATAAGTTTAAGTTGAATTCAAGCAAAACAAAAATTGGTACTCAGTAAAAACTAATTCATGGAATGAACCAAGCTAAAAGTTTATAAGAAAGCATACGCAATCTCAACAATCTTTGTAAGGCTGAACACCCGTGGGTCAGATGGAGATCTTAGCTCTTCCATGGAGACCTTGCAGAGTGCCTTGACAAAATCCACTATAGCCTCACTGTTCAGTTTTTGACTACGAATGAATATGCGACTCATTTCACCAACTTGTTCCAACATGTTCAAATTAGTGACTAGGTTGTTCATCTGTTCAGATGTAATTCCTCCAGAAGCATTGCCACCAATACCAGCACTATCATATGAACCCCTTCTTGCAGATGCACCAGTATTCTGAATCTTTCCAGGACCCTTCTTCTTAAGAACCGGAAGAACATTTGATTTGGATTGCTTTGACTTGTCAAACTCATTCTGAGGAATCGCAAAAAATGTTGCATCAGGTGGAGCACCCTCTCCCAACAGATGCAAATGTTCAAATCGAGAAACACATGTCAAAATATGTTCCCATGCTTCCTGTAGATAATTTCCATCCTCATCTGCAATAGTAATAATTGCCTGTTCAACAAAGATAAAGATTAAGAACAAGAATTCAAGGAATTTACTGAACCAATTAAAAGCGCGAGAAATTCAAAGTAAATCTTTTTTCCCAAAAAATGAAAGTATAAAAATCATTATTAAAACAACCGCTGCAATAGTGTTAACCTTCTTTCTTAACTTCAAAGAAGCATTGGTGAATCATAGTCAAAATTGAAACTCATTTCTCAATATCTAAAGTCCAAAAAGTTTTGAACAGTCAAATAAAACTAATGGACTTGCAATCAATTCATTTATACAGGGAGGCAGCACAGATTTTCTCTAATCAATACAAACTTATTAATAGCTCATTTGTAAGAAAATATTCAAGTCAGTACCTTGATTGCCTCAATGTTTTTTTGTTTAATATCTGCAGGCGAATGAAGGGAAGTAAATTTAGCAAGTGATGTCACAAAAGCATCTCTATGAGTCTTCATTGACATTGCTGCAGTGACATGGATAGCACATCTAAAGCCTTCCAAACATTGGGATATCACAACTTCATCGTCACTTTGGTCAAGAGGAACACTGAAGGCAGCCAACATTGGAGCCCAGCATACCTCGATCATGAAACGTAAGATCACAACATCTGTTGCTGCATAATAAACTGACCTACAAAACGGCAAAGAACAATCACATAACCAAAATCTGTAAAAGCATAGTTATTCAAAAAGATAGCTATCACCACCAAAGTGAAAACAAGATGTGAAAGCTCAAATCAAGGGAACAAATGCATCTCATTTTCAACTCATAAAAAGTGCTACAGTAACTAACCAGAAAGTACTCAACTATCCAAATTCAGACTAAAGTAATTATGTACATGATAAAAATAAAAAAAAAGCAAGGTGATCGATAGAGCTTTCATTCAAAAGCTAAATCTAACAAATTAAAAAAAAAAATTATAAAAAAATAAAAAAAATTTATAATAACCACACGGAATAATGAATCAACAAATACCACATTAGTCACAGTAATTTTGTCACCGTGAATATAAAATGCATTTAAACAAAGTTTTAATCATCTAGAAGATTCATGGGAAACTTGTCACAGATAAATCATGTCCCTTGAAAATTTTACAGCTTTCATGGAACAACCACGTTGGCGTTCCTACACTGTTCTCATCCTCAGAATAGATAAGATAAACAAGAATGTTATAAAAGAGAGAGACACTGGTAGGACACAACCTGAAGACAACTTTTTGCAAACCAAAATAGCAGCACCCAAGAGAAAGCAAACAAAAACAGTATTTGAAGAAAACAATTTCACCATTCTGGTTTATACAAGCTTCCAATGTCAAGTAAGATGTAAAAGATATGGATAAAAGGCAGCAGGATAATGATAGCTGATCTTACTCAGATTTGCGAGCTTTTTCTTTAAACTGTTCCTGCATGTGTCTCATGAGGTCGTCACTGGTCTCCATGCGATCTTCACCTCTGTTACGGATGACGATATTCAATATGCTATCCAAACCTAAAATTCTGTTTGAGTTAACAGATTGTCTTTGTTGGATAGCAAAATCATCCTCTTTCATTTTGATTTCATTCTTCGATATTCGCTCATACAATGACCTCATATACTCCTCCGGCAAATCTTTTCCATCATCAATTCCACGGTTGTTTCTTATAAAATCATCAGCAGACATCTGTACAAAAACAGTAAGAAATTAAGGCAAAGAAGAAATATAGCTTACGTCTACTTCGTGTTCAAACATTATGAGCGCATGCAGATTTACAACAGTACTTTTTTACAGTAAAATGTATATGTATATTGACAAGAAGAATCCAGCTGCATTTTTACAACTATACTTTGAAAGGGAAAAATTGTAATTAAATCATAAACCAATCAAAAAAACAACCAACCTTGTTCTTAACCATGGGGTTGTGAGCATCAGTGTTAAGCAGTATGACTGAGTAAGCTAGAACATAGGCTGTATCCGCACTGATAAAAGCTGAAGGATTACATTTACAATACCGTTCAGCAAACTTTTCCATGATTCTGTCAATCTTCTGTGCCTCACCAGGCAGCCTAAAGCCTCTTAAGAATAGTCTGATTGCCTCATCAAACTGCATGTTTTGGAAGTCAAAGGAATCCACATATGCATGCATGACCTTCAAAGATAAATCTTCCCTTTCTCCAAGGTAGTCGCCAATTAAAGTCTTATTCAAACCAGATGCATTTTTCAAGAAAGCAGCAATTTCTTCAGCAGAATTTCCAACTTTGTTGGCATTTATTAAGAACTCTATACCTTTCTTAGGCTTGCGATTGAAAATAGATATTCCTTCCTGCAAAGAAGTGTAGATGGTTTTCATTATCATATGATGGCTACAAAGGTATGAGGCAGAAGAAGTGGGCTTTCTACAAATAGAATACACAGAGCATACTTACCTGAAGTTCAAGTTTGTAAGCACGACGCTGTTCAATAGTGAAAGCATCAGAAACTTCACCAGAAGCATCAGAAGGAGAATCAGATGCTTCTACAGATTCTTCATCATCGCCATTAGCCATAGAGAGGCTTCCAGTTTCAGAACCATTTTCAAGAGATTCAATTTTTTTTGCAGAATGAGGATCTGGAATCCGCAATTGTTTATTCATCCAGTCACCCATTGACTTCAAAATAGCGACCAAGCATTTCATAGCTTCTAGCTTCATTGCAACCTCTTGAGGAGGCAACAAAGTTGTTGTAGTTCCTGGTGGGACACCTTGAGCTGTTTTAAGAAGTCCATTCACCATCCTGCAAGAATGAACCACCCGTGAAGAGAACTTCTCAGAAGTCTATGATTAGCAAATATAACATCCTAACTACAACCGTTAGAGGATCGTATTCAATTCAAAATGCTTCTAGAGTCATCAAATTCTAGCACAATCTGGAACGAAAGAAAGTATAGATTAACAGATCTTACCTCTCAAATATGTTTGAAGAATTTACGTCACAATCATAGTTAAGGAATATGTCCACCAATATCTGTGAATCAACACAGAGCTTCTCAAGAAATCGAAGAACTATCATCTTTTGCTGAAAATTTGGTTGAGAAACATTTTCAAGTACTCTAAGAACAATCATCGGGAAAAACACTCCAATCTCAGCCTTTAGTCCAGCTCTAAATCTTGACACCAGGCTGATAAATATTGAGCAGGAAAGCTGGAAAACAATCATAAGAGTCGATGCGCTGTTCTTCAATAATGATAGACACAAATACTGTTTGATAGCCCCCAAAAATCTGTCATTCAAAGGCAATGCCAGAAAAGATTAGAACTAGAAAAAGAGCACATCAGGATCTAATCAAGAGAATGAATAACTAATAGAATGCAGTGGAAAAATAAAAAAGCAACCTGAGAAATTGTGTCAGCACGACATAAGATACATAACACAAGAATAAGAACACCAAGTCTGGATCACCATCCATTAAAATTGTGATAGTAAATCTCTTGTTATTGTTTGGAAAGCACACGTCAACATCATGAATTGGACGGGCAGCAGATTAACAGGTCAAAGAGTGGTGAATGTAACAAATAGTCATTTGAACAAGTGCGAGATGCACTTTTTAGACTTGACACTTGAGAGCCACTAAGATTCAAGACTACCGACTATTCTCTTTACATGCACAACCACAAGAAAGTTGTTCGTATGACAGATTAAGGTGGTCTGCGGCATAATTTCACTTTTCAATCAGCTAGAGTGATCTGCATAAAGAAGAAGGTTTTGGAAGACTTGATCTTGCTTAGCCAGAGTATCTATCAATAAGAGAAAGGCTTCTCTATTGGCATACGGCCCGGCCACCAAAGAAGCTCATCATGACCCACAATTTTATTGCGTTAAGATTCTTCTAGTGCCCTTTTCCAGAAACGCAAAACACATGGAGGACAAAGGCTTTAAAGTTACAGCCTTACTAAAGATGATTATTAGCATCAAACATAACTGAATCTTCTAGCCAATAACCACTCTATAGCAGAAAGAACTAAGTGGCGGTTGAATTTCAACAGAAACAGCAGTATTCCCAAAACAGAAATCATCTACATATGCAGGATGGTAAACATTCTATAAGAGAAACTGTACATCATGCAAGATTACAGATAAATAATATAACGGAAGTTGCAGTATTCATATATAAACTAATGCAGACAATTTCAAAAGCAGTAAGATTTACTAAAACTTGCAATACTTAAAAAGTTAGAATCAAACCAAGCAATACCTTTCACTAGTCCTAAATACAGCCCCAGCATTTTCCAGCAGAATCTTGAGCAACTCCAATGCCACAATCTTCCCTCTCATGAGCTGTGGATCCGCCAGAGCCTCTTTAGGAGGAGTCTTCATTGAAAGCTTACACAGTGCTCGGAACACCAAAAATGCATCTCTTCTCAACTTATTTCCAATTTGCACTTCCAAATCATCATCCCTTTCCCCCTCCCCATCCACCAATTCACCTTTCCTCCCTTCCAATGCCGTCTTATACATACTAATTTCCCAGTACTTGGCATCCAGCATATCCTTGTCTGTGGAATCCAACAAATCAGCAGGATTCGTCGATTCCACGGTAGAGGTCTTGGTCTCAAACGCCCCATCATGGGCGCCACCGGCAGAAGCAGCCCCACTTCTAGGGGTACCAGGATTCAAAACCCCGTCAATGTCCTGCATAATTTTGGTGATAAAACCCTGAACCATCGTCATTGTCCCATCCACATCAGATTTCTCTGGGGGATCCATCAACTCAGCCACCACAATAGGCTGCAGTGGCACCGTGGAAGAGTCAGCCTCCATTCTTCTGAAAACAATCACTAACATCTGAATCAGCGATGCCTTGGCAGTGGTCTGATTCACCACATTCTTACTACCCAAATAGATATCATAACACGTCCTCACAATGAGCAACAACGAATCCCCATGAATTCGCAGGGACACCGACGTCACCGCGGACAATATGGACTTGATTAGCAACAATTCTACATTCTCGTCCCCGAGTTCGTGACATTTGCAAATGGACTCCATCAATCGAGACAACAACTTAGCTTCAGGGCCGCCGGTGGGGTCGCACTCGCCGTGGAGATAGCCATGGGCAATGAGTTTCTGTACGGCATCAACAGCAGGCTCCGCGATCTTGAGATTGCCGGAGGAGGCGGCGTTGATGAGAGGACTAAGAATGAGCTCCGAATCGGACAAGGACAAGTCAAGGAGTACTCCGGGAAGGGAAGAGGAAGGCGAAGAGACGGCATCCCCGTCGGACGGAGCGGCGGAAGGAGACGCCGGAGGAGTTGGGGATGGCGGCGGGTTTTGGTTGGGTGAGTTAAGGTGTTCGATAACAGATTTACACTCGTGTGCGAGCTTAGAGTGCTTCCTCCAGGAACCATTCTTGATGATCTTCTCTAGGGCTGGGATTAAGACTAGGTTGAGTCGGGAATCGACTTCATTGGAAGCCATTCCCTCCGTTTCCCCCACTCAATTGGGGACTTGGGAGGGAGGCTCTAGCCTTTTTGCGGCTTAGATCTGGAACTGACAGTGGTGGTAAGTCCCGATGCACCGTTTCAGTTTTCCGTCCTCAATTCCACGGCGGCGCAGACGGTGGCGCGATCGGAATAGAGGGCGGAGGAACGGCGGTGAGGAAAATGAAGGAGGAGGAGGAGGAGGAGAAGTGAGGACTCTCTGAGAATCTGGATCGCGGTTTGGGATAGTTGTTTAAAGTTGATAACTGTGTTGAAATGACGCGAATGCCCTTGTAAGTTTCTCTAATGAAGATGAATATTGAAAAGTCTTGTATAGAAAATCTTTCTTACATGGTAATTTGTGACGTAGTGACTACAATAGGACATGAATTCGACTAAAAGAAAGTGACACTATTGAATACTGAAATGACAACAATGTGACACATTGATTTTTGCATATAGTATCTACCTAATACTAACAGTACAAGTATAACTTCCTCATGATTATCCAGTGGAAAATTTTAAATTTTAATTTTTTTTTAGTATAATATAAACCTAGTATCAAAATCATTGCGCCATTTAACTCCGATAGGGAAAATGTTTATTATTTTATTATAATGAAGAAAAAATTTTACTGAAAGAATGTGATTTATTTTTTAAAAATAAAAATACGTATATCGTTACACTTTGCAATTTATGGTAAGCATTAGAGATAATTAATCAGATGTACTACCTCTACTAATCACAAACACAGGGGAAAGGGGAATGATGAGAACTTAAAAGTTACTTAATTTTCTAGATATAAACTATTTATATTTCAAGTGTTTGACATAAGATTAACTGCTAGTTTTTGGTTAGTGGCTAATTGGGATTTGGTTTTTAAAAAATTATAAAATGAGAGTAGTTGAGGATCACCAACATGCTTGCATGACACCCGATAAATTGACCGGTGGCGGCGGCAGTTGCCGGAGAAATGCTACTCCGAGTATTATTAATTAAGTACATTATTATCACGTGATCTATGGTCAAGCACTCAGCTCTAATCTTTTTGTTTCCTAGTGAGAGTGGCACAATTCCGTCTACCATGATCAAACCATTAATTATTTTTTTTTTTTCAAATTACAAGTGTGTAAACTTTGATTAAATTGGTTAGGAATCATCGAGTGACCGATGGAAAAAAAAAACTTTGATCAAGACATAACATTTTCGATATTGAAAAAAAAAATATTTATTAATTTGATATTGGCATAAGATTATATTTCAAAAGTTAGTTGTTTAAAGTTTTATCTAGTCAAAATCTCACAACACTTTTATAAGACATATTCAATTTTAATTTGCAGAGTATGTAAATTGGAGTTGTAGGAGACTGATACTGAATCGCAATAAAATTTTACTTAGTCATAAAATAAGTGGTTTTTGTTGTCTTAAAATAATTGTAATGTTTGGATGTTGATTTTTAGTACAATTGTAGTAGAAATGAAAATCCAAATAAAATAATATTTCGAAATAATAATTTGTTGATTGAATTAATGCATCTTGTTGGTAGTTATACAATTATAGGGAGAATGGGCCTTTTCATCCCAAAATTTGAGCCACACCATCTAAAACATCCCAAAGTTTAAAAGCATGCCATTTTCATCCCAAACTTTTCAAAAATATGTAATATTAGGACATTTGTTAAAATTTTCAAGTTATTAACGGCGATATTTTATTCAGTTTCTTTTCCCTTATTTTTTTTAGTCAAAAAAGTTTCATGCTTGCGTTTGCTAAATTTGGTCCATACCAAGCAAAAAAGTTGTATGTCCCTGCATCAATTACAACACTAATTTTTATAATGATGCTACATATTTAAAAAAATAAATGAAATAGGGCTTACATTCTAATTATGACACACACAAAACTTCTCATGATTGTTATCAATCTAGAAGGTGAATCTTTGATTTTTTTTTTCTTTTTTTAAGCAAGAGAAGAATGGATGATGTGAAGACCAAATTAGGTTTAGCTATTTTCTTATAAGGTGAGAGTTAGTGGAACGTGTTAAATGATTAAAAGAATTGGGGGAGGAGAAACAGAATAAAGTACCACTAATTAATTAAGTGGAGTTAAAAATTTAACGAATATTCTAACGTAACATGTTTTTAAAAAGTTTGGGATGTAAATGGCATGTTCTTAAATTTGGGATGTTTTGGTTGGTGTGGCCTAAACTTTAGATGAAAAGACCCATTTTTCCTACAATTATAATATAGAGCTGCAAGGTGTACCTAATTTGTTAAACTTACGCCTAAAAATAGGGGAGGTACTAATATTTACATCAATGCCATTTAAGTGATATGTACGCGCCCATTAAAGCTCCCTTTCTACGGGATTTTTTTATTTTCAAATTCTCATAACCACCCTTTTCTCCTAATTTTCAGCCATTAACCTATCCATCTTCCTATTCCATTCAACCTAATCCGTCCCAAGCAAAAAAAATCTAAAAAATCAAATATTCTTCTCAGCAGCGATTAGGCAACAAAACCTCTCGTTGGCGATATTTTTTAAGACGGAGCCAGATTTTGCATCTAATTCCGTGAGTTTGGTTGCAATATACTCCGCTGAACGTGAGAATTAAGGTAATACATGATTTTATTCATCGGTTTTGCATGTTCCTTTCATGTATGAAGTTCTAATAATGCTATTTTTTCTGAAATATTCATGTAGAGGGCTACGATTGTATATTCTGATTCGAAAGAGCAACTCAATGATTGAAGAGAGAAAGAGGTAATATACCATTAGTCTATTCAATGATTGATGAGTTTTTTTCTTGTGTTATGTAGATTCAAGGACTATGCATTCGAATGTAAGGTATGTGTATTTGATTATAGAATTTTGTTCATCAATTTTTAAGTTTTCTTCATCATTTTGTTGTTGGTTTTGGAAAAGACTAATAAATCTGAGAATTATTCATCAGTTCGTATTTAATATTCATCCTTAAAACTAACATATTCATCATAATAATTGTGTTATTAACTAGTTATTCATATTTAGTTTTTTGGTTGGATTATATAGATCTAAGGTCTGTGCATTTGATTATAAATGTTTGTTCACCAATTTGTTCCATTGGTTGTTGTCTTGTTGATTTTGGAAGGGTTTTCCAGATTTGTTCATTATTCAACAGTTACTCAGTCATTATTCATCGATAATAAAGGATTATTCATCATAATAATTGTGTTATGCGATTGTTATTCATATTTTATTAATTGCTATTCATCCGAGTGAATAAATGGAATATGTATATTTTGGTCATATTCATCCATAATACGTGGTTATGCATCTATTTGTATGTTCAACATATTGTTCAAATAACCTATGCATACACATAGGTATAGTGATTGATCATTAGAGCAATAAGTATTCACCTAATGAATTCATCATACCTATCAAGTTATTCATTTAGTATGTAATAGTTATTCATCATACTAACCTGACAGGTTATATAGTTTTAATGGTTATTCATCATTTTGAAGATAATTATTCATCTTCAATAGCATTGTTATTGATGATTAACAGAGTTTTGATTGAATGTGAAATCTCACATATTGTTATGTTCTTTTTGTTTGATCAGCGGTAAAGAAATGCTCATCAAATTGAACTTGATCGGTCGCGAATCAAATATTTGGCAGAGTTGCTAAAATCAAACAATCAACATAAACGTTTTGAGCATCGGCGGATCCTTCAAGACCTTATATGCTAAAAACAATGACTAGTTTTCCTGTTCAATTTTGATATAGTATAATAAATAATTAGAATTTTGTTAGCTTAGTTGCTGACATTAACTCGTTGTAAAATATACTCTTGTTAGTTTTCTTTATCAACTTTATTCATTCTGTTGAGCATTATTCATCCACTAACGCTATATTATTCATTTATTAAAGTATAATTTTTTATCTTGCAAAAAATATATATTCTTCATTTTATTATTGTTATTCATCTAAGATGGGATCATTATTTATCAAGATTTGCGTCATTGTTCATTTTTGTGAATATCGTTATTCATTTCAAAATTTAAAATTTACTCATCCATAACTTTAACACTATACGAACACAATTATTAATCAACAATGTTATCATTATTCATCGATAAGTATACCATTATTCATCCAAACAAACATCGTTTTCCATTTAAACCTTCCAAATTTGATGCTTAATTCTCCGGATTCTATTGGTAAAAAATAAAAATTTCAAAAGAAACGTGTTCTGAAAAATAGGTGAGCATATAATGGCTAAAAATATGGTATAAAAATCACACTTGAGTACCAAAAAAATAGGTGAGCATATAATGGCTAAAAATATGGGATAAAAACCACACTTGTTTAGCAAGTGCGTGTATCACCCTTCTCTCCTAGGTACACTTTATGATGTCTATCTAGGTGCTTGTTATTATTTGCCGGTAGTTGTAGGCCTTTAACAAATTGATTAACTACAACAATTACTTCCTTTGACACGTTGGTAGATGAGTAAAACGACAAACAAGCTTTTTTCCTATTTTTTTTTCTTTTTGTTTTTTCTGGTAAAAAGTTTTGAAAGACATTTTTATTCGGACAAATGCTCGTTTTGGTCCCTAATGTTTAGGGGGTAGCACAACCCAGTCACCACAAATATTTTGTCTTCAATTTTAGTCTCCATAAAGTATTTTTGTATCATTTTTTTTTTATCTTTTTAACGGAATTTAGAGGAAATTAGCCGTTTACCGTTACATGCACAATATTATATTAATTTTTTCCTGACGGTGGGTCCCACTAATTTTGACCTAGAAAAAAATGGGATAAAAACTCATTTTGGTCCCCAAAGTTTAGAAAGTCCAACGATTTTAGTCACCACAAATTTTTATTTCGTCATTTTTAGTCCTCGTAAATTTAATTCTTCAACTGCATTTACTTATTTTATTTTAATTTTAATTTTAGATTTATATTTTAATTTTTGTATCTTTCAAAAAAATTTTAGATATGGTTTGAAAATTCAACATTTCTCCATTTGTAAATCTTAAAATTCATAAACCAAGATCAGTTTACATTGCAGGGATCGAAAATAGTTAGAGAAAATCTACGAATAATTAGACAAAGGATGAACATTACACTATGTATTTAGAAGTAGGAAACAAGATATTTCATTAATTTAAAATTCAATAGACAAAGTAATCAAGAAGATTTCATTCATTCATCTATCCTTTATATATACCACTAAGTTGACTGCAGTTTTTTCTTGATGTGTCTTCCTTGTGGGATATAGTTGTGTCGACGGCAATGATGATGATAAAAAGTAATGGAGGAGAGTGATGGTTATAGAATTGGATGTAAAATAGGTCATGGAATAAGAGTATGTCAAAATAAAAAAAAAAATAAAAGAGAAAAAATTGTAATTATCACTTGTTTTTCTAAAATATTTTTTTAATAAGAATGATTATAATATTTTGGTTTATGAATCATTCTCCTCTGCAATGTAAACTGGTTTTGGTTTCTGAATTTTAAGATTTACAAATGGAGGAATTTCAATTTTTAAACCAAACCTAAAAACCTTTTGAAAGATACAAAAATTAAAACATAAATCTAAAATTGAAATTAAAATAAAACGAGTAAATATAGTTGAAGAATTAAATTTATGCGGACTAAAAATGATGAAATAAAAATTTGAGGTGGCTAAAATCGTTGGACTTCCTAAACTTTGGGGAACAAAATTGGTTTGTATCATCTTTCTTTTTCTGGGTCAAAATTAGTGGGATCCACAGTCAGAAAAAAAAATAATATTGTACATGTAACGGAAAATGGTTAGTTTCCTCCAAATTTCGTTAAAAAGATCAAAAGTGGTACGAAAAAACTTTATGGGGACTAAAATTAAAGACAAAATATTTGTGGTGACTGGGTTGGGCTACCCCTAAACATTAGGGACCAAAATGAGCATTTGTCCTTTTTATCCCAACCCCATCCATTCCCCCTATTTTGTTTAACTTCTAAAGATTCCCCCTTTCACAGCCTCTTCCCGTCGTTCTCCTTCTTTCCACCAACCCTCAGCCCCGTCATCGGAATTCAGCAATCCACTTGGTAATATTGGTTTTTCACCCGGAAAAAGTTAAATTATTTTCTGCCTTAGATAGTTTGCCTTTACATTCACGTTCCTCCAGCTTACATACCCTTCTCGTTTCCCTCCTACGCCTTCTGCAATGGCAAATGTGAACTTCGTTTTGCTTAAAGCTTTAGATATTGAGTCATTAAAGTATTTGATTTGTTGCATGCCACATGTATGATATTACTCCTGAACGAAAGAATTAAGCTATTCATCAATTTCAGTCCTTTTTTTCTGGGTTTTGCAATACAATTGTGTGGGCATGGCTTTCTCTGTTGGCAAGCTGCTTCCTTTTCCGGGCATCGTGTTCTTACAAAACCAGAAAAATCTACTCTGGGGCATCCCTGTTTGGCGAATTCCCTCGTCTGTTAAATGTTCAAAAACCCAGGATGATGGTCCATTGTTGACATCAAGAAATGTGGGAGAGGTGGATTTTGAAAGCAGGGAAGAACAGAAGCGGAGGTATAGATGGGTTAAAATAGGTGGTGATATTAGGGAAGATCAGAAACTAGCAATCTCTGAGCTCCCATTTAGAATGTCCAACAGATGTAAGGCTGTAATGGAACAGATAATATGCTATGAACCTGAAAATGGAAGTCTCTCCGAGTTGGTGGCATATTGGGTGAAGAGTATGAAACCCAGGAGAGCAGACTGGCTTTCGGTTCTTAAAGAACTGAGACTAATGGATCATCCATTGTACCTGGAGGTATATTTTAGTTCCATTTAATTTTTTCGTTTCATGCTTTTTCCCAACGCTTGTGCAGCTCCCTGTCTTGATACAGCCCCTTGTCAAACAAACCCAAGTAACTGTGGCTGCAGTGCTAATTTGTTCCTTATAAGGTTGCATAGAAGTTGGTATATCATATGCTCATGATCTTTAACCCCGATACATTTGCCTATCCTTTTCATTTTGTTGGACTCTTTACAATTTTTTGGTGTCTGTTGGAAGTTTTAATATATTTCTGAGATCATTTATAATATTGAATATGTGTATTTCTAAGAAATGCATTAGAAAGAAAGCAGGATAAATTACGCAAACTCATTTCTGATGTTTCGGACATTTTTGTTGGAGACATTAGATGCACCTCTAAAATTGGCTGTCCTTTAAACTGACTTGGAAAGCAATTAAGGAGTACTAAAAGAGACGTGATATATCTGAACTTAAATTGATAGACGTGTCTTGATTGGCAGCAACAGTGAGATTTGATCTATGTTGAACTCATATTGTAATATGAAGACCTACTCGTTTTCCTTATTTCAGTGAAGGTCTACCTTTCTTACTCTTCATGGGATATTTTTACAGATGAATTGCATTCTTGATTTCAATTTCTTCACATAGAATGTCGGCTGTTTCTTGGTTCTTTATACAAGAAAGTAAAACTGCATGGTATCCCTCCAGAGATTAAGAAAAATCGCAAGGAATTTTATGCACTGTTCCTGTTAATTATTGTTTTCCACCAAATTGCTTTAATACTATGAAATCACTCAGAAGCGCCTTCGTAATAAAGAGCAATGAGTTTAAGTTTTGAAGTAGATTAGGTTGTTCACTTAGGGGAACTTACTACAATATATAGACCTTTTCTGCAGTTGGCTGAACTTGCTCTCCTAGAAGAATCTTTTGAAGCGTCTGAGCGTGATTATACCAAACTGATGAGTTGCTATGCTAAGCAAAATAGGGTGCCAGAAGCTGAAGAAATTTACTTTGCCATGAAGATGAAAGGTTTTATTTGTGATCAGGTTACCTTGACAGCTTTAGTTCATATGTATAGCAAGGCTGGAAAGCTTGATTTGGCAGAAGAAACATTTGAGGAGATGAGGCTGCTTGGTGTACCCTTGGACAGGAGGTCATATGGCTCCATGGTCATGGCCTATGTAAGGGCTGGGATGCTTAACCAGGGAGAGAGTTTGCTGAAGGAAATGGCTGCTGAAGAAAACTATGCAGGAAGAGAAGTTTATAAGGCTCTGCTGAGGGCATATTCAATGACTGGTGATAGCAAAGGAGCACAAAGGATTTTTGACGCAATCCAAGTGGCTGGAATCATTCCTGATGCAAAAATGTGTGCACTTCTCATAAATGCCTTTGTTGAGGCAGGTCAAAGCACTGAGGCTTACTTGGCTTTTGAAAATTTGAGGAAATCTGGTCTTCAACCAAATGATAAATGTGTTTCTTTACTGTTAGCTGTTTATGAAAAGGATAACAAGTTGAATAAGGCACTGGACTTTCTGCTAGACCTTGAGAGGGATGGATTTCAGCTAGGAAAAGAAGCTTCAGAAATATTGGCTAAATGGTTCCGAAGACTAGGGGTGGTGGAGGAGATAGAACTTGTATTGAGAGATCATGGTTTACAGACGGCTCAATAAGGATAATGTTTCATATCATCCCTTGCCCAAAGTCGAGCCTTCAATATGAGTACTTACTAATTACCAGAGCACATTTTTGCAGGTAAGAATTGATGTTCAACCTCCAGTAGCAAACTGCTTGCTCTCTCTCGTGTTAAATTCAGATGAGATATGTCTATCCTTTTTAATGGCAGTTGGAATTGTTTTATGTTCTTGATACATACTCTTTTTCTTTATTTTCCTTCTAATTGAGGTCTAATTTTTGGTTTTGTTCCAGACTGCTGAGACCCTATAAATTCCCAGGAGAAGCCATTGATGCAGATTACAGTGTTTTGCTCATGCACATTGACATCAAGCTGCCCTGCTATGTCACTGGTTCTGGATGTTCTACCAATCCAACTAGCTAAAGCCAAATGATCTTCTAGAACAAATGTTTTGGCTTCGGACATTTCTTGAAGTTAATATGACTAGATAAGTCTAACTTCAAATTTGCAAGACTTATAGTATTTTGGATTGGATCAGTAATTCATTCTTGGTGCTATAGAGCTGGGACATGGGAAAACTTATTGGCAGGAATCAGGCAGCTCTGATCAGAGTTTATCTGTACAAAAACTGGCCGAACTACGTAAGTTCTTTATATATGTATACGTAGGAAGCTAGAAGCTTGGTACAAACCCTCTAGGAATGGGATGAAAGCGTCCTATCTGTTTGTAGATCATCAATGATTGCGGCGGGAGGGGTGGACAAAATATGTCTCCCATAGGGGCAGGAGAACCCTAATTTTGCTGGCCCATCCGCTACCTCATTCTGATTTCTACTGTTGTGGACAATAGCGACTTGCCATCGGAGGTTTAGTAAACCTCTAATCCTACAAAATACGTTGCTATTTACACATTATGTTCCTTCAACAGACAAAAGATGGAATGCCTCTAGGCTATCCATTTCTAATATAAGGTTCCTAAAACCAAGCTCCCCAGGCAAGTTGAAGACTGAAATAGGCACCCAAATAGTTCCGACTCTAGAATACTGCAGTACCCTAAGTTGGCTGTAAAGCCAATTATCCAAGTCCCACTGTTGTCGCGCAGCAAACCCCCCAGCAGCCGCTTTCTTCTTTGCGACCGATATAGCTGCGTCGGTATTAATTTTGATGACATTTCGCGGTGGTGGCCTCCAAGGATGGTTCGATCACAGCTTTGGGCAAAAATACGGTGTGATCTCCTTAACAAGTGCTTTGATGCTACACTTGAAGAAGGATCGGTCTGAGATTACTTCATCACCAAAGATTTCCTGGTTTCTTGTATTCCATAGCTTCCAGCACGTGACTCCAAAGTAAACCACGTCGCCCATGCCATGCATGATTTTCCTGCAAAAAGAAAGAACTCAAATTAGATTGTATCCAAGTTTTCCAGTCTGTAGCTAACCAAAAATCAGCTCCCAGTTTGGAATTGCAGCTGCGCCAAATCTCCCTGCTTCTGAGGCAGTCAGTCTCTGTAAAATGGGTTTGGATTTGGGCCCAATTTAAGGGATGCTTCAAGTCCCAATTTTTATTTCTCACAAGTAATAATCAAATTATTTTACTTTGTTTTACACTTTTACTCCAGTGTTGATCTCAAAGCAGTGGTAATGAATTTTTTTAACCAATTCTTTTTTCAAAAAAAAAAAAAAAGAAAGAAAAGGAATCGCATCACTCGTTCATGTATAAATGTAACAAATCCACAAAATCACATGATTTAATTAATGGAAATAAAGAAAGCGATACAAAGATAAAAATACTTCTTTTGGCTTCGGACATTTCTTAAAGCTAATATGACTAGATAAGTCTAACTTTAGATTTGCTAAGACTTAATAGAATTTTGGATTGGATCAGTAATTCATTCTTGGTGCTATAGAGCTGGGACATTGATGGTTGTACTGCAATAAGAAAACTTTTTCAAAGGGTTCGAAACAGCTTATTCAAAGTGATTGTATTCAATTTATCCAGTAAAATAGTTCCATAACGTTTATACAAAAGTACCAATACTTTTTAATTGTGAAAAAAGAAATGAAACAAATTATTTTAATTGTTTTGATGTAGTTTTGAGTTTTGAGTTATTTCAGTACATGAATGTATATTTTATGTGTGAACCTTCTTACATTCAGAAATATAAAATACTGTAGCATTAGGTTTTCAAAGCAACTTTTTATTTATAATAAAAAAAATTACTAAAAAAGAAATAAAGATAACTCGATCCCCGTCTTCCCTCTCCATCCACCCCACATATGTCTACAGCTCTCTCGTTATCAAAATACAATTCGAAAATTTTGAAGAGACTTTCGGGCCGGCCTAGTAATTTTCTAGGGACACATAAGGGTGGTTATATTTTCACCCAAAAAAAAAAAGAAAAACAGACATTAAAAATTATTCCGATATACTATTCCTTCGTCTCATTGTAACATCTATCTGTTTTAATCAAAATTAAGACAATACATAGAGTGGATTATGTAAATGGAATGGAAGGAGTACTATAGAGCTAACAACTCTCGGTTTCTTTCAAATAAAAACCAAAGTAACTGTATGTAAAAGATTTATCTGGCAGTAAAATTTTCAAATTCGACTTTTCAATTTAGTTTTTGGTGCATGACTATTAAAATTTTGCAAGATACAATTGATAATAAATGTTAAGAAATTGCAAGGTACGACCTTCTTAAGTGTTTGTTATTCCGTAAAATACCGTATTTCAATTGCAATTGCATCTAAATGCCAAAGTGATTAACAAACAATATTAGAACAATCGTAAACAATAGAATTAAGCTAAAGTTGAACAATACATATACAGATTTAGGGGGGATAAGAAGAATTTGCAAGATCATAAAGATAACCACACCAACTAAATTAATTAGAGCACATGTAGGCAATGTTTTATTTTATTATAAAATGTACTACTATAAGTCTATAACACTACTCATATATTAATTGGAAAATATATATATAAAAAAAAAGGAGTACAACGCACGAACATTTATGAACAAAAATGATCAAATAAGTAGATTAGTCATATGAGAAAATACTAGCCTAATTGTAATTCAAAAAAGAAAAAAAAAAATCAAGTTAAATTTCCTCTTTGACTCCAAAGGAAGACGGACCAGATCGATCATTTGCAAAAAGAAAACCCTATTCATCAATGAAGGATACGATGATCAGAAAAGTTCAGATTCCCTTTGAAAATTTTGCCCTCATTTTGAGCTTGAGTGTGGTGGTAAAGGCGATATTTCATTGCACGGCACATTAATAGAAGATGATGTTGATCCATGTCTATGCAGAAGTTCCCGCGCCAATTCTTGAAGATCTCCGCTGCCGCCCCCGCCAAGACCGGCCGAGGTTGAGGCCTCGGCTGGCGATGGAGCTCTGGTTGTGGTAGCGCCACCACCGCCGAATGGATGCGAATCTATTGGCTGTGGTCGCGGTGGTTGCATGGTCCACGTAGGCTGCACCACCGGATCAAAAAGTGACGACAAGTCGTATGTCGCGGGAACTGACGGAGAAATTGTTGGGAGATCGGCGATGGTGAGGGAGGGCGGTTGTGCAATGAGCGGCGGAGGGTGAGCAGCCGGCGTCGGCTGCGGTGGCGACAGCTCAAGAGTTGCGAGATGGCCTTGTAAATATGATAGCTCCGCTTGTAAGTTCACCACCTGAAATGAGAAAACAATTGCAACTCTGCATTATTAGTTCAAGAGATGAAAATGAGCCCAAGTGTTTTAATTTTTTTTTTTACCCCATGTATATAGTATACTCAAACATAAAATCAAAACGTTACTCCATGAATGAATCATGCAAGTAATATTGGACAGTTGGAGTAAATTTTATTGGGAATATTTTACTAGTATTCCAAAGCGCGCTCGTCATGTTTTTTTGGTAGAGATTAACTTAGTTACAATGTCAAACTTGATGAGATAGAGATCTTTTATCCTACATTTTATATGTAGTTTCGTATTGCTTTCTTTTAAACTTCGTGCTTTCCATATTACTTTTGACTATATATAATCACTTCCCGCTATTACTAAAAGACGTCATTTTCATATTAACATTTAAATACACCATGAAAAGTAAGACGGGTGATTTAGAGAGCATCCCGATAAGGTGATAACCCCTCCCAACTAAAAGAAATTGGTGAAAATTTTCTTCACCTCTAGAATGTTAGGGATGTTGTTCTTGAGTCAATCTCACAAAAGAAGCTCATCAAACCAGTCATACATGAACCCAGCCGAGAAAAAAAAGGAAAAAAAAAGAGAAGATAAATCAATTAAAAGGCAAAGAGAAAAGGTGATGAGAACAAAATTACACACACACACACACACAAAAAGGTATAACGACATCTATAAGCATTTCTATTTAAGCAGACACATGAAGCATCATGTTGATGATTCTGGAAAAGAAAACTTATCACAAAAAAAGCTGATTCGAAATAACTGCAATGATCTTTTCCCAGAAACAAAAAGAAAAAGATAACTGCATTCCTCAAGTTTTAGTGCTGTTACATAAGAAGAAATTCATTAGGCTCATGAGTATATCAACATTAGCATAAGGTTTCCACCATTAAATAATCATCCCTATTCATGTCTTGTTGTGTAACATTTTTTTTTTTTTTGGTTAACATTGTGTAACATTTATAAAAACGTTGCTTCTTCCATAAACATTAATTACTATTACAAATAAAATTTTATGTTAATAACTAAATAGCTACTGAAATAGAACAAACTTTTTTCTAGATGAAATCATGAATATCGGTTTGCATTTGCTAATCAAAAAAAATTGTACATCAACAAATCGAAACATGGGGATTGCAGTTGGAAATCAAAACGTTTGACCTCATAAATGGATATCACAAAATCACGAACAACGGTAGAGCAAAAGTCAAAACCAAATCAAGAAGTGAGTTACCAATGCTACTATTTTATATGCATTTTGACCCGTTTAATTCCAGATTCCAAGGATAACTTGGCTGCATAGCCATAAAAAAATAAACATAACCTGTTCACCGATTCATTTTGTAACGTAAAAATGCAAAACCAAGGAAGATGACGAGAGGATCATCAAAATCAAATAGAGATATAGATGGGAGATGATCTTCATCCCATACTGAAATGACGTGAATGAGTACTTTTTTTTTTTTTTTTGGCTAGTCATAAGAAAATCTAGTGACTCCGACCATCTCCTTAATACCAGCAAAGATGAATCGTTTTTCTTTTGCAAGTGTAAAGAGAAGCCAAAAACATGAACAGTAACCCCACATCCTAATTATTTTTTCAATAACTTGCCGACCGACCAACATCATAAGTTATTTAATCAAATCAAAAGTACGTCGGATTACTTCTTCTAGATTTCAGCAAAGCATATATTTAGTAAACTGTTTCCCAAATACACCACCTTCATGGTCCACCCGATCCATCCGTTTCTTCTCTACAATTCTATCCGTCACAGAAAAAAAAAAAAGGAAAACTGTATCATATAGTTTTAGTTTAAATAAAATGAACAGTTTTTTCTGGGACGAACGGAGTATATGTAATACAATGCAAAAGAGAGTCAGTTTTGCACCGCTGCATCATCCTCTAGTACCGAATAAAATAGCATCAAATCTTAAGAAAAAGAAACACAAAACAAGTGCGCCAACTCAAACCTTGTAACGTACTCCATGGAGACCTTATCATTAATGTTTTACAACCAAAGCCAGATCCCCAATTAAGGTTGTTTTTAATTTTAACTATTGATGGCTGATCAGATTTGGGACCGAAGAAAGTCCAAGAAAAAGACAGTTTCACTGCACACATGCTTGATGCATAACTTAGAAACTTGAGTTTGCTTAGATATGCGGTACAGAAACGTTTTTGTTACACAGTTGGGAAAATTACCCGATCCTGCAAAATGTCTTTTCTTTGTGTTGTCAATTCATAGGCACACGCACAAAACAATAAAGACACACAAAAAAAAAACAAGCAAAATGAAGACTAATACACGAAGCAAAAGCAACATGTGATTAAAGGAAAGAAAAAAAGATTGTAACGGAAGAAGCTAAAACAAAGGGGACGGATGGATGGATTGGATGAAGAAGTCCTTATTGTCACCAACTCCGATTAGACAGAACCTTTGTAAAGAGATGAAATGAAGATAGATTCACAAGCAAACTAGTACTCCAAATAGCTACTAAAATTATGACTAATAATATTCTTCCTTATACCACAAACTTTATAACTTCAATAACTTACCAATACAGAATTAATTCGACAAACAGGACTCTCTAATTAACGTGACACAGATGACTTAAATTACTACGGGTAATTGAATTATTATTATTTACCTGTTGTTGAAGGGCAAAGATGTGAGCAACACAACCAAAAACCGGGTCTCGGAGTCGAGCTTGAGCTTCATAACAAATGGTTACAACCGCATCAAGCCGCTTATGAACCGGGATATGGAGGAGCAACTTGGAAACGTTACTAGCTCCGAAAACCTTGTGAACCGCCGCGAAATGAGCCGCTCCTTGCTCCGAATCAAAGTAAGGTGCAAATATACAACCCGCCACACACTTCCTTCTCAAGAATTTGCATGCACCACACGGCCCTCCTCCTCCTCCTCCACCGCCACCGCCGACACTACTCCCGCTGCTACTTCCACCGCCACCAACGCCGCCGCCTCCTCCACCCGCAGCCGACCCAACAGTATTACTAGCACTACAACTACTAGGGTTGGAACTCATGATCTAAATATATATAGAAAAAGAAAAACAAAGTTTCCTCTTTTGGATAAGTCTTGATCAAGATGATCAGCTCAAACCATGATTAGGGTTTTTTTTTTTTTTTTCAGAAGGATGGGAGAACCCTTCTCCAGCTAGCAGCTGGGAAAGGAAATAGAAACAAGAATTAAAGAGAGAAAATAGAAGGTGAGATTTGTAGGGTTTTGATTTAGTTTTTGTGGGTTTGGAATTTTGTGGGTTAATTTTGCCCCAACGAAATGAAAGATGAGAAAGGATTGAATTTTGGATAATGTTTTAGTACTAATAATGAAAAAAATTTAAGAGGAAGCAGGAAGTAGGAGGAGGAGGAGAAGAAGAAGAAGAAGTACTAGTTAGTAAATGGAGACTTTAAAGCCACGCGATGAAGCAAACCCCATTTAGCTGCTTGCGTGAAGCAAACATGCGATAAGCCAACTGCCCTTTTCTTTTTTTTTGCTCATTTATCCTTCCTTCATCTCGTGATTTTGCCTTAACTAAACTCATGTTCTTCTTCTTCTTCTTCATTGATCATATATATCCAGCTTTCCTTTTGTACTATATTATTATAAATTACTATATATATTACCTTTACCTTTGAATATAATATATTATAATTAGTATAATATTGATTAGTTCTAGTGTGTGTGTGTGTGTGATGTTTCAAAACGGATTCAACTGATGAAATTCTTTTTTGAGTTGCTTTATTAGTTAAATGAGATTTGATTACAATGTACCATCTTACGGCTAAAATGAGAGAGACCAAAATGAAAAGAGAAAGTGGAGACGTGTCATTGGGATTGTCTGTCTCTATATAAGAATTTAGTAAAGACTCTTTTTTTTTTCCTTCTTTTAATTATATATATTTTTGTTTTTTTATTTTTTTAATTATGTGCGTGTTTTAAGCTGCGTAGAGGCCAAAAGACGCCAACTCTACACTTCTCTCCTTTTCTTTCCCTTTCGTCTTTGAAAAAGACTATACCCATTGATGATCATCTCCTTCAAAATCACACACCTTTAATCTCCCTCCTTTTTATACATATCGCCAAAAGGAAAACGGTCTTTGGTATTCTGTTACAACTTTAATTGACATGTTTACCCATGACAACACACACTGTATTTTCCAATCGAAAATTTATTTTATGCTTCGAGCAAAAATTGTATCATGTAAGATGATATATTTTTCCAAAATAATAACTTTGAAGTCGCAAATTCAACCAAAATGGAGGTTACGACGATTTTATGTTTGTTTCTCACAATTAGTTTGTACTACTAAAAATCACAAGATGAAATGTGATATAAGAATAACATCTTTTTCCTATTTTATTCCAAAATCAGATCGAGAGAGACAATAGTACATGAAAGGAAATGAGCTATATATTCTCCTTGGGAGTACTAATGTGTTCTTTTCTTAAAAAGAGTCCTTTTATCACCGGAATTTTATTTTTATTTTTTATTTTTTGATGTAAATTGCACATTGTTTCCAAGTTAAGAGTACTCTAGCTAGACTTATAAGGATGATGATCGTTTATAATAATCTACATTAAAGAACGATACAAGTGGAAACAATAACAACTACACATGACATATCTTAATTAATTAACAAAGTTATGCATTTGCCCCTATATCACTCAAGCTATACCCAATGACACACTATTTTTTTTCCTATGGGCGCCAAAATTTATTGATAATAAAAGTAAAAAAAAAAAAAAGTTAATGGTGATACCTACTTGGGATTTGTACGTACACTTCATACTCAAAATGTACAAAAGGATGAAAACATAGGAGATATGTATGTTAATTAAGTAATTAGGATGAAAGGGCTTTTAAACTTTTATGTAAAATTGTTTGCTTCTCTATAATGGCAAATGTCTTGTTTGCTATGGAACTTAGTGTTTAAATGGAAGTGAAGCTCTATATATGTACGACAGCGACAAAAGAAAAAAGTGAAGCATTTTAGGAGATTTCTTTTAAAATAAATGGTAAATTTTTCTCCAATGTCTAACTATAGCTAGTTATGTGAAGTTGGTACGGAAGCACTTGCAACAATTTGGAAAAATAATGGCTGGAAAGATGTGGTTGATGATGACAATGGGAATTTATCTTTAATGATTAACTAGTGTTTTGCATAAATACATTGCATATGATTTACGACATCATTCTGTGAGATGAGATCACAGCTAGCACTAGATACCGATCGTTGAGTTCATTTTCTAGCACTTATTTGATAAAAATCGTGTAATGATTAGATGAACTTCCGGATATTGTAAAATCATGAATAGAACATATTTTTATTAGTGTATTATACTAACGTGTTGTAATAGATAAAAATTAAAGGCAACGGTTTTTACTATTGTGCTTAAAATAAATAAATAAATAAATAAAAATCGTGTTTAGGTGAGAAATGAATCGAGTTCATAAAAAATGTAATTATTGTATGTTATATTAATCAAAATATTTGTAAATAAATTTATATGATTTTAGTGATAAGAGACCGCAGTGGTCTTGTAGTGAAGAGATGTAGTCTACGACTAGCGCCGAGGTACGATTTTTGTGGTTTGTTTTGGTCTTCATCAAGAGGGTTAAAATTAATAATGGAAGAGTACATAATTAAAGTGCTGTACTATATACAGATGGTAAAGATGGAGGACAATTATATTCATTTCCATGTCTAAAGTTAAATCAATCCAATAAATAATTCATTTTTGAGGCCATGGACGGTAACATTCGCATTATTTAGGAAGACAAGTGTTTCACCTTTTCTTGTACCTTCTTGGATCGAGGAAACTGGGGACATTTATGCATGATCATCATTTGATTAATTTTTTCACATAACTTGTCTCAAATTGATTCGTCTTTATTATACTGTTTACAAAACAATTTTAGTATTTCAATTGATTAGCGAGGGTTTTAGTTTGAACTTAATAATGCATCAAACCTTTGATTCCTAATAACATGTTCGCGGATAGTCCCGATATTAGCGAACCAAGATTAAATAATAGGAGTATCATAATAACCAATAATATACAGTCGTATGCACTCCGTCTCACTTAAATAATTCAATTAATTACATTATTCTAACATAATATTTTAAAACGAGTGTAGTGTACTAAAATAGATTAGGAGTATAATGAACACAAGCAATCAATTTGATTACAGCATAGAAATGGAATCTGGGTTCCATCTATTGTTGGATGCTAGCAAAACAAAATGAGGAAAATAAACAAAAGACATGTCTTGTTTGGACATTAACTCATTTTACATTTTTACTCATTTTATCTCTTAAACACAAAATTCAATGAAAAAGAAAACATCATCCAAACAACTTTCTGATTTACATTTTAAATTCCAACTTAAAACACTTTTTTTTAGTGTAATGACCATTTTAGAACTACAAATAATTCAGTGACAAATTTGGCAGGATTCCGTTATTGAGTGATTGTTTTTTAAAAAGTTCTTTTTTGCAGTGATTATAATTGACAGTATTTAATTGTTTAGTTATGACTTGTACTTGATATTTCACAATGTAAGTTCTAAATACTTTTTTTCAAAACCAACATCCAAACAACATTTTTATTTTCCATTTAATTTTCAATTTGAAACACTTTCCACTTTTAAGTGGCAAAATAAAACGTAAGTTGATGTCCAAACAAACACTAATCTTTTTGAAACCTTGTGGTGTAATTATATGTCGAAAAATATATAAGCAAGATAAAAAAAAAAAAAAAAAACAGAAAGTCGATCGCAAGACTATTTTATCAACTGTAATCTTTGGAATTTGGAGGTTTACTTATTAGTAGCTAAATAATCAGACCAACAAAATTCTTTTAATTATCAAACGGAAATAATTACGTAATAAACGAGTTAGAAGTCGGTCAAAAGAACTATTCGGCGTCAAAGCAAAAGTTGAGGCGTTACATATTGATTGAAACCAACTATAAGCTACCAGTCAGAAAACGGTGACGCTAACGTAACGGCCCGGGAACTGATGACCTCAGCAGACGTTTGTCCCCACCCGACGTTTTGTTCCCTCGTTTACCATATTCCGTCCGACATTGGACCCTTTTTCCATTCATTTTTCAAATTTATTAAAAAAAAGTTAAAAAAAAATCCTGGAGAAAAAATGTTTATTAAGGCAAGAAAATTTTAAGAATTGGTCCTCAAGATGAAGAATTATGTACGTCAATTTCAAATTTGGTAAATTTGATAAGTTTGAGAGAATGAGAAATACAATTATATGTTGCCACCAACCACGGAGTTTCTTTCTTCTTCTTTCCCCCTTCATGTTTTTCTAAAACTATAAATTGGTTTTTTTTATGCTATATGCATATTGCCCAAGGAATATATAAGGGGTTAGCACACGGTACGACATATTTATGAAACTAATTTTGCTACGCAATACTTGATTCTTTAAATTATGACATGACTACGTGATTATTAAAAATTATACATTGCGTTTTTAAAATTCATACTATAGGTAAAGTATGACGTAACTAAAATTTTTTACGGATGCCTATGCTAATTTCGTGTACAAGATGTTTGGTTTATTTATTTCACCTTCAAGAAAAGAAAAAATTTTCGATTTTAATGGTGGTTGACAAGTAATGATATTGTATCGTTAACACATTAAATTTTCGTTTCAAAATGTAAATTTGGAGAACTAATTATATCACAGTAACTAGTCATTAATTATTGCAAATTGGGATCTGAATTGATAAAGTCTGTTTTTATTTTTATTTACAGACTATGTGTAAGTTTGTATCAAAAAAGAAAATAAACTAGACAAGAAGAAGGGGAAAAAGGAGAAAAAAGAAAAGGGAAATGTGGGAAGGGAGGGAGGAGGGAATCAGTAACAGTACGTAACGGCGATATCACCGCGCCGTCCGGTTCTTGTCGAAGGCGTGTGATGTTCAGAGGAAGCAATGACAGTCAGGCTTCGTAAGTACCTTATTGACATACACGTGTCCACTGGGGTCCCACCTTTGTGACGTCTTGCCTATGTGTAAACAGTCTTCTGTCTCACCAAACTACTGTAATTACTATTTCTCAGCGGCCATTTAGAATGTTTTCTTTTTCCCTTCTGACAGAAAGGGAAAATGATTATGAATTTGGTCTGAATTTCTGGTGTATTTTTGAAAGATTTGTTCATCTAAAATAGTACGGAGTTTGATAAAAAAGTTAATAGTTCTTCCATCTTAATCAAAAAATCAGCTCTGTTGAACTAAAATAAAATGTTAAAATATATCATGGACATAGAGCAACTTTAAATACTTTGGGCAGCTGTCCCACCCATCAAGGTGCCTACAATTCAATGACGAAAATTAGTCACTATTGCCGACGGTGTACATCCTCCAAATATGTAAAAAAAAAAAAAAAATGTCAGGAGAGCATAGATTAGTATGAATCAGGGTTGAATTCAGTAGCGACTTGCGAAATTTTCTATTACTTGATGGATAATCAAATTTTGCAAAACTGCAAGTTAGCTAGAAATTT